ATATAGTTATATTTTTTTATGCGGTGTGCGATAGACTTAACTCCACGTGGTGCACCATGGGCAACGTATACTCATACGGCAAAAAGTCTATGAACCGGCAGTTGACCACTGACTTCAAACTATCATCACCCCACTGTATGTCATATTCGAATTCTTTCACAGTACTCACCTCACCTTTTTTCTACCTTTGTGTCTGCCTCTTTTACATCTTTGAAACACTCTTCTGTCCCAGCCCCCCCCCCCTCTCAAATTCTATTCACTTTGATATTTCTTCTCCTCTGTGAGGCCTGAAGTCACTTAAAGGGCTAATGAAATTATCAAAATGCCTGCTATTTGATATAAATATTTTTTTTTCTTTTCCTCTAAATAGAAGTTCTTGTCGAGCGTACCTTAATCAGGACGGCGCAGTTCATTTTATTTTACCTTATCGTTCTCAGTGTGCAAAAGCAGAACAGGACAAGTCTAATCAATCATGAAAACGCCATATATAAATATATATACATATTTACATTAAATCTCTCAATGGTATAACATTTTTAAATATAAACAAAATAATTATTAGCTCTTATGCATATTTATGATTTAATTTAAAACATTGTTTTGATTTTTCACACAATAGTAGATTTCTTAATCAATTTATAATATTTGTTTTAAGAATTTGGTTAATTGACTGTTAATTAAGAGTGGAGCGTGTTAAATCCATTTAACCAATGGCTGCAGTCACGAAAACATCCATATACCGATTCCAAAAAGAACTTAATTGAACATAATAGGGGGTAAAATGAATAGAGGAAACATAGAGCATAAAGAAAGAAGAAGATGAAATCGGAAAAAAATTTGCTTGTGAATCCGAGTGAGCAACCTGGTTAGACGAATAAATAAAGCAATGAAACGGCAGGCGAGGCAAATTCCATTTCAAATACTTAAATAACATTTTGAGAATACTGAATCTTATAAAAATGAACATGAAAAATCATTTCAAAAATTGAATTTCTAATAATTTGTTCAGATTTCTTGGTAAAAAACTACTTATACTGAATTAAAATTGCTTAAAAGACCCCTCGCTCAAGCTCACATTTCATTCATTATTTTTAGCTGCAAGAAAAAAAGTTAATACTGATAAATCATTACTTGTTAATGGGATCACGTTCTCTGAAAAAAACAATATTTTCTATTCCTTATTACCTCATTTTATTGTAGTACTTTATCATTTTTTAATAGAACAATTATAAAATTTTACAAACAAATTAAAAGAACTACTTAATGCAAATTGGATCTCACTTTTACACACGATGATATCAGGAGACTCTCCTTAACAGAACAAATATTTTAATCTGATGAGATAAATAAACAAATTATGCAATTGAACTATGTGAGTTACCTTCTTTCAATCAATAAACAGTAACTCCAACGCTTGAATATGTTGTAGAAAACAGGAAATTACTCCTTTCTTCAGAGGCAATTGTTCATACAAAACTACGAAATCGAATCGTTTTTTATCCACGTTTTTAGTTAGATTAACTTTAGGTTTCAATAATTAATATTAAGCTACTTATATTTAACAAACATTGGAAATACAATTACTCGCCGAAATAATTATTATTATAGCCAGAAGTTGCTCTCATTCCTCCCCATTCACATAAAGTTGTTTCGCTAACTAAAAATGAGCCCTAAAAGAAATTTTTGTGCTATTCATTAAAAATATAAAGCTCTTGGCAAATTAAAAGAAGCCAAAAGATCATTCAAGTCAATTACAAGCACTATTTTATCTTCACATGATCCATATATAATAAAGTCAGATTATACATAGGAGAAAATTTACATACCCTTAGATGGCTGGTTAATCCATTTATCGTTAAGTAAATTTCGACGGAACTATTCCTATTTGTATATCTTGCAAATAGAAAGGATACTCGTGGTATCATATTTCCCAAAATTATCGGCAATAAGTAAATATAAGAATAAAAATTTTGAAGGTATGGATTATTATGTTTGCGAAAGCGTTATAATATCTAGCTGTGTGTGATTTCTAATTTGGTTCAGCGGGTCTGAACTAGCACTTTAAAAAAAATATTTGTTATGCATATGTCAGGGCGTCCAATTATATAAAGTCTTTCATATTTTGTTGCGTCAAATAGTGCAATATTAACCCTATCTAAAAAACAGTTGTCTTTGGTAAAGACGGAAAATCATTGATAAAATCTTGAAAACAATGTTTTTTAATCAATTCGTTATTCACCAAGCCATTCCCATTTTCTATTGTGAGATCAAACCACTTAGATTGTTTATGTAAGTATGCAACCTGAAAGTTGATAAATATGATAAGATTGCTCAATAAGATTAATGCTTCCCCAATTTAATCCATGGAAAATACCATGAGTTCTGTTTTATCACCTGACTTTGCCCTTTTTCTTGAACATGTAAAATCCGGCAAATCTTTGGCTTCTCTTTCTACTAAAATTAAAACGAAGATGTAATAAGTCGTTGGTTTATGGATGCCCAAAATGTGCCCCAAATTTATATATCTCCCTTCTATAAAATTAAATTGCATATCCGCTCTCGTTTAAAATGCTCTTCAAGGATGCAAAATCATAGGCTTTAAAAAGAGTTAAGTGACGTTAGAGGGATAGGTTAAAATAGCTGAAGCAAATGAAATGACTAAAAATAACCTACCCCAGTATTTTGCTATAACCTCTACAAATATATTTGCTATTTTAAGTGTTCAAACAACTATGTTAGATAAAAAAATGAATTCATCAAAGATTGGCATTGACGATCTTTACCCTTTGAGAAATATGATTCCAATAGCATGGCAACCCAAGCATTGCATTTCGTCATATTCTTTGCCGCATTATATTTTTGTATTTCATTTAAAACAGGGTATGTGATGATTAAAAAATTGTGCTTACAATATCACAGTTGCATAATTTTTACTATCCTCAGCTTATACATTATTTTCAACGTATTCGTTTAAGCCAGTAGTTTGCTAGTTATTTTACATAGAAGAAGTCATTAAGATGTAAATGGTTCAATTTAATTTCATAGGTTTGCACATTAATTCAATCCTACGTGTGAACCATCTCTATCATATCACATATTTTTGTCCATCTTGATTTATTACGCAAATCACAGGTTTACGAATTAACGATCAACAATTGCATTTGATTGACATGTTCAATTTGAAGTAAGCAGAAACAAAATAACAAAATTATACCGAAATCGTCACATTGAGACGGTCAAGGTAACAAAAATATAATCAAAATATCACTCATTTAATACAATAGTTAAATTTGTTTTAAAATTAAATATTTCCTAATACTTCAATGATTTAACCGAGACAAAAATAAGATTATCTGAAATTATCTATGTGCATCGAAGTGTGCAACGTATACTCATACGGCAGAAAAGTCTATTAACCGGCAGTTCTCTTCTGACTTCAAACTACAATGACCCAACTTTATGTCATATTCGACCACTTTCACAGTACTCCCCTTACCGTTTCTCTGCTTTTGTGTCTGCCTGTCTGTCCCTTTTACATCTGTGAATCATTATTCTGTCCCCCTCTTGACATTTTGTCACTTTGATGTTCCTCCTTCTCTCTGTGAGACCCGAAGTCAGACAAAGGGCTTTTGATAACCATCAAATCGCCTGCCATTCAAAATTAATAAATTTATGTTCAATGAGAAAACTAACGCTTGAATTTTAAAAAATGGAGAGCATACTAATTTCTTGAACTAGCCTATTTAAATTATATTTTTCATATTTTTTAAGAATCAAATGCCATCCTAAAAGTTAATTGTCAGAAAGGGTATGCTAATGAATAAGTACAACTATTTCGCAAAATTTATAGCGTTTATTTTACATATATGCCAAGAAAGAATGAATACAAAATTAAAATGGTGGAGAAAGTAAATATTTTGTCACAAAAGAAACATGAAAGCTTTTGGAAAACTGATACGAAATTAAGCATTTTGGTTGGCTTTTATCTACATTTACATTTGCTATAATAATATGAACTGCATCAAATTCTGTCGAAATAAAATTTTCTCTTAATGGCTCAAAAAACAGTGGAGTGGTTCGTTAAATTTGAAGCAAATTTTATTAACTATTAACTTACATTTTAATGTTTTATTTTACGAAGTGCGCGATAGACATACCTACTCTAGAAAACGTATTTTCTTACGGCAAAAAAGGCTACACTTGGCATTTTGACTTCTATTTATTATGATTAGCTTTAACAAAGGATATAAAAAAATTGCCCTCGTCAGGGCGAATCACAATGTCTTCAGATTCTCCAGTGGAATGCTAAAGGGATGTCACCGGACAAGAAGATCCAAGTCCAGAAAATCCTACAAATCTATGATGTAGACATTCTCATAATTATGGAAGTAAACATTTCGGATGACAAACTGAAGTACTACCAATTCCCAGGTTACACCCTGTACCTTCTACGTAAATACCGGCAAGTCGCAAGTGGAATTCTAACTGGAGTAAAAGAAGGCCTCACCTCACACTACGATCTAATCAAGAGTATGGGCTTGTCACAAGACAAATGTGAAATAATCAGATTAAATATATGGAAATGTCAAGACCACTTCAAGATATATGCAGTCTATAATCCACCTCAGAATTGTCCAAACTTTGACTATCTGAACATTTCACACAAAATTGTAGTATTGGGAGACTTCAACGCCCATTCCACCAGATGGGGCTACAAGTACACAAAAATAGATGGAAAGGAAATTGAAGACATGGTAAACAGCAACCCTCTGGAACTTATTTACAGCAATGAGGATCCGGCCACATATTTCCACTACAATGGAACCAGAACAACTCCTGACTTACTTCTGGCTTCAAGCGACATCAGTGAGCATACACGCCGCAAAATAATTGACCATCCTGATTCTGGTCACAAACAAGTCATTGCTAGTATTACCATCGGCAGCAAAAGCATGTCAAGGAAAGTGCCAACTAAGCTATCATGGAACTTCAAAAAGGCTGACTGATCTAGATTCGCAAACCTTTTAAAGAATGAACTTGAAACAAGTACCCTCAACTTCCATTAACATCTTGACAAACTTTGCACTAATATCACGAATATTATGATCAGAATTGTACTGATATCACGAATATTATGATCAGATGTGCAAAGAAAAATATTGGGAAGACTAAACACTATCGAGTGTTTTGGTCTAAACACCCGAGTATTATGATCAGATGTGCAAAGAAAACTATTCCCCGAGGCTCATGATTAGATGTGCAAAGAAAACTATTCCCCGAGGCAAGATTACACACTATCGAGTGTTTTGGTCTAAACACCTTGAGGTAGCAAATATTATGATTAGATGTGCAAAGAAAACTATTCCCAGAGGCAAGACTAAACCAATATCTAGATAGTCTAAACACCTTGAGGAACTGAAAAGAAAGCGGGACGTTCTAGACACCTTGAGGAACTGAAAAGAAATCGGGACGCCCTACTAAACAACTTGAGGACCTGAAAAGAAAGCCCGAGGCCCTTCGCAACACTGCTGATCAGACTGGAAGAACGGATGACGTTCAAGCCTGGAGACATCAATCGACTGCCCTAAGGCAGGCCATCTTACAAGCAAACGGTCTTCTTTCGACAAGTTCATCTCAAATATCAACTATCCAAACGACAGAGAAAGACCCAAGAAAGAACCAATACGCTTAAACAGTACCGACACCGATATAGCTAACTTCTTTGCGAGGTCTATTCCCACAAACAAAAGAAAAACCCTTTTGTCAGAAAATCTTCAAGAGATTTAAAGATACAAGTAAGACAATTTGGTGAAATTAAGGAAGCCGCAACAAGTAATAATGTACTTACTGAACCATTCAGACCTTAGGAACTTAATGCTGCGATAAAACAGCTAAAGTGCAACAAGTCTCCTGGTGAAGACGGTATTCATCCAGAATTTCTAATTAGAATGAGACCAAAAGCCAAGAAAACCATGCTGACCCTTTACAACAAAATCTGGGAGACCAGACCCGTACCTAAGGAATGGAAAGTTGCCACAGTAATACCAATACTAAATAAGCCAAAGACCCTAGAAAATTTGAAAACTATAGGTCTATCTTCCTCACAAGCGTTTTGGCTAAACTTATGGAAAGAATGGTTAACAGGAGGCTGACCTGGCTTAACTTATGGAAGGAATGGTTAACAGGAGGCTGACCTGGATCCTTGAGACCAACAATATTCTTAGGATTGAACAAGCAGGTTTTAGGCCACAAAGATCAACGAACAAACAAGTGGTCACTTTCGCCCAACACATCAAAGATGTTCTTGATGCAAAAATACCCTTACGGATGTTTTCATCGATTTCAAATCGGCATATGACTTAGTATGGAAAGAGAAGCTAATTCGAAAATTGGTAAAGAATGGTATTGAGCATAACATGCTTAACTGGATTAAAGCATTCATTGAACAAACATGAGAAAAGTCAGATACGCAAATGCTCTATCAAAATCCAATCTATAACAAACAGGTCTTCCACAGGGAGCTGTCACAAGCCGCACTCTTTTCAGTGTCTTCATCAATGACATAGCCGAATTGGTACAGACAGACACGGGCATCAAGTGCTTACTTTATGCAGATGATCTTTTTCTATGGTATTCAGCCCCTAAGAAAAACGCTGAGGAGAGAATTGAAAGTGCCCTAAATTGTGTAACTCAACTACTAGCAAACTGGTACGACAACAATGGAATGCAATCAACTCCACGAAAACTGCGTTGCAAAAATTGTTTTGCCCGTCACAGCATAAACCTGCTTCTAAGGTACAAGGATACTACCATAGAAAAAACCTATGAGTTCACATATCTCGGAATGACTTTTGACACAAAGCTAAAGTGGAAAAGTCACATTGCTAAAATGGCAGAACGAACCTCCAATAGACTGAATGTACTGAAGCGTCTCGCTGGTAGGGTATGTGGCTGTGCACGCTCACCTCTTAACACCACAAACAAGATGTTTATTCAGCAAATAATGTTGTATTGCTGTGAGCCACTCATTACAGCCACAGAGGTGACTCTCAAACCACTCGTACAGCCACAGAGTTATTGTTCTGAGCCACTCATTACAGCCACAGAGGTGACTCTCAAACGCCTCGAGAAGGCACACAACCAAGCATTACGACTAATTACTGCAAAGAAGGCACACAACCAAGCATTACGACTAATTACTTGAGGGATTTAGCACACAACCAGGCATAACGACACATTACCGGAGGGATAAAATCAACACCCATTGATGTAATGCTCCTAGTTTCAGAAAGCCCCAGAATGGGTTCCCTTATCAAAGAAAAGACCTTGATCCTGTATGAGAAGCTACTGCGAATTCCCATGGGCAAGTTCTACAGCACCTATGAGAATAGACCAAGACACCTGAAAACACAATCTGGTCTAATACAGAAAGCCATAGAACTGAAGCAAGAATTACAAATCGATGACAAACCCAAAAGCCTCTCTCTCTCTCCATGAACCCATTAGCAGACACTGATGTAGTGTGTTGCACCCAACTGCTTGACTTCTTCAAGAAATCAAACACCCCTCCAGCGCAAATGCTCCAGGCTTTCGAGACAATCAATGTCAACTATCCTGGAGATCAATGGCTCCAAGTCTTCACTGATGGATCATACATAGAAAACCAAGCAAAAGTTGGTGCTGGTGTCGATTCTGAACTCTTCTCTTTTTTTCGCAGCAGCGGGACACAATAGATCCGCTTTTGTGGGAGAAATAGAGACCATTAGGATAGCACTATCCCAATTATGTTGCCTGGATACGAAATTCACCAAAGCGGTGATACTTTCGGACTCACAGTCGGCAATAAACTCAATTTGAAACAGAGAGCCACCCAAATCAGCTGAGTTAAACGAATTTAGAAAACTCGATGAGATGCTGAGAGAGAAAAACAAAACAGTAGTCCTACAATAGATCCCTGGTCACTTTGGCACTAAAGGCAATGAGCTTGCTGGCACACTTGCTAAGAAGGGGACAACGATTTTGCAATGCATGGACCGGCCGATGTCTTTCCACACAATGAAGGCCTTAATCAGAAGAGAATTCCAGACCTCAAGGTGCAACGAACTTAAAGCTCGAACAAAGGAGAAACAGTGGACAGTGGCGCTCTCTGACATAGCCGTCTTGCCAAGAATCGAAGCCGATTCTGAATTTAGAGTACGTACCGGACACGATTGCTTGGCAAAACACCTTCACAGATTGGGGGTATACACTCAACCCACATGCCTCTTATGTAACCTACAGGAGGAAATGGAGAAGACCTACCTGATTTGGTGTTTAGCGCTCAACCCACATGCCCTCTATGTAACCTACAGGAGGAAATCTGGCGAAGCACCTTCACAGATTAGGAGTATACAATCAAAACACCTTCACAGATTGAGAGTATACACTCAACCCACATACTCTATGTAACCTACAGGAGGAAATGGAGAAGTCCCACCTGTCTATGTGACCTACAGGAGGAAACGGAGAAGACCCACCATATGTAACCTACATGAGGAAATGGAGAAGACCCATCTGATCTGTAACCTACAGGAGGAAATGGAGAAGACCCACCTGATGTGAAACCTACAGGAGGAAATGGAGAAGACCCATCTGATTCTCTACAGGAGAAAATGGAGAAGACCCACCTGATTCGGTGTTCAAAGGAGGAAATGGAGAAGACCCACCTGATTCGGTGTCTAGCGATCAACCCACATGCCCTCTATGTAACCTACAGGAGGAAATCTGGCGAAGCACCTTCACAGATTAGGAGTATACAATCAAAACACCTTCACAGATTGAGAGTATACACTCAACCCACATATACTCTATGTAACCTACAGGAGGAAATGGAGAAGTCCCACCTGTCTTATGTAACCTACAGGAGGAAATGGAGAAGACCTACCTGATTTGGTGTTTAGCGCTCAAGACAAGGACGAAAATCCAAAGATACTGGGAAGCAAGAAGACAGCTAATGAACTGTGTTAATAACCGCTATAAATGTACCCCCCCCCCCTCTTGGGGAAGCTGAAGTCAAAGATTAAGGTAAGCAAGAAGACTGCTAATGAACTGCTATTAATTAACTGCTTTAAATGTACCCCCCCCCTCTTGGGGGAAGCTGAAGTCAAAAAAGCCTGCCATTTGAAATAAATAAATAAAGTATCACCAAAAAGACAGTTTTTACTAATGAAGCATTTAGGATCCATTTATTGATAAAAACACCTACGTCAAGGCAACATAAATAAAAACAAGTGATCACTTTAATAATTTGGAAATTAAAAAAACGTAAATTTAAGTAAGCGGGTTATAATATATGATAATTTAATATTAAATTAAAAACTCCACACAAACCATCAGTACACATCAATAAATCGTAAAAGAAACTTGAAAATCTATTTACCTTTAGCTCTTGATAGTGTCTATTAAAAAGAAGAAGGATTTAATATCCTGATAAACATTTAGTAGATCATATGTAATAAGAAAAAATACTTTTTACATGAATATATATATATATATATAATAAGCAACGAATATGTTCAAACTATTTTACATAATGGTGACCGTTCTTCAACCTTAAGTAATTTTCAGCATGCTATACTTATCTATCTTTTACTAAAATATCCGGTTTACTCAATATAATAGGTATAAAGGTAAAATGTTTTAAATTTTTATTAAAATTTACTCCCCGAATTACAAAAAGATCTGCTCATTTCTCTATTGATTTATTATCTTTTTCATGTGTATTCGTTTCCCACGGTCGAATTTATTCTATCAAATGTTCTCTTGTAAAATTCTAATAAGCTTAAGAAAATGTATTTAATGGATTCAATTTTATACGATTTACGCAGATATACATTTATTGCTCTTAATAAGGGCCAACGCATTGGCACAATGTATATGTTTCTATTTACTATATTTTTGCTGCAAATAAAGATTACTCCCGGAAAAATTGAGTCAACTTTACCTGATCCCCCATGTTCAAGAATTGTGTCAGCTCCACAGGGGAAATCAGACCCTATTATATTTGTTGCGACACCATCAAGGGTACGCAGAAATTGGAAGAAATAAAATATTTTTTCCAGTTTTTGCAGAGAATCTACATTAGGGGATATGAAGGGATCGGCGAAGTGGTAATACAAGCCAATAGTTGTTTACTGCTTAGGGAATTGATTGGGGAACCATGCTTTAAGCAAAAAGGTTGTGGTTTCGAGTTTATTTTTGCTTGACATATCCCAAATTTACTTATAGATTATTACAATATTACAATAAATAATGTCACCAAATACAAAGAGATGCGTTTCTATGGGACGACCTACACTTGCATTGTTCAATTTGCGCCGAAATGTGTATTTCCTTCTGTTAACTCAGGTTAGTTATGAAAAGGCTTAAAATACTATTTGCCTCTGTTTATATTGTTTTGTTCTTTGTGGAATAATAAGAATTATGATTTTCAATAATTTAATTTTAGGGCAGGTGCAACCCGAAGTATCGTTTCCGTTTATCCGATTTCAAGAAAGAAAGAATTTCGTCCAAATTAATTTCTCCATAAAAGGAACAGATTACAGTAAACGTGTGCGTTTATCTTCATATCATGCATGCAACGCTTGACTTTTAAGTGTGTTTCCATGAATTTAATTCCTAAAATATTAATAGCATATTTTTAATGAATATAATGAGTACAATCTTTCATGCGTATGCTTTTTTAATGCCAAGTTACCAACTTAAATATTCAATTTTTTTTGTTTTAGAGCTACTTGAAAATAGACAATGTATATTATTGTCGGTGGATAGGCCTTAATATTATTAAGAAATCGTCAGATTCAAAATGCAGTAAGTTTTGTTTGAATTTATTGCGTTGCCGATAAACAACCAGAACAATTGAAACTCTGGTTCTAAAGGGAATCTTGTGATAAATGTTGAAAAGTCCCAGCTCGATTACACTTTGGAGTTTCATCGAGTCAATAATGAAAAATACAACAATTTTGAATTTCAATCCTTATCGACAACTGTTGGGGTATCTGTTTATTGGGAGAGTGAGGGTATGTCCTTCATCGATATATATATATATATATATGTATATATATATATATATATATATATATAT